ACGGAATGGTAGATGTCGCAGCATTGGATAACTGATGTTATCGGCTCTTACTGATGTATTACCACCTTTGTCTAGAGCCCATAGGAGTTCGTCTACGCTGAAAATGTTGTTGTAGTCTACTGCAAAGTCCGTGAATTGATCCTCGTCTATCATGGAGTTAACTGTGGAGTATGGTTCAGCCGGTTTGTAACTCGATTTGAAAAACTCCCCCAAATTTTCTGCTACTTCCGTAGGCTCTTCAATAGTGATTCCATTGACAACCAGGACATGTCGATGAAGATTCCTTTTGCCGCAGAAAGCGTTCATTTTGCGCCACATTTCACTGACCGGACATTGTGGGTTGAATCCGGATACAAAATCATCCCAAGAATTCTTTTTTGCGTCTTCCTTGATGCATTTCGTGCCTTTTGAAATTCGCTCAAGGCTTCGTGCCTTCGAGGGTCGTTTTCGTTTGTTCGTTTGAGTTTTCGGAGTTTCTTTCGACTCATTCTGATCACAGAGTCAACCTCTTTGTTCCACCAATGAACAGCTTTTCTTCCGATTTTGCCGGTTGTTCTTGGTATACTTTTCTCCGCTGCATGGATAATATGATCGGTTATTTCCTCGACGGAGAAAGAGTGATCTCGGGGCATCTTTTCAAGGAGTATACTTTCGAATTCTTCCCAGTTTGCTTGATCATGCAACCACTTCCTGCGACGATGGAGGCTTGATGTATTGAAAGAAGTTCCGACAATAACCGGAAAATGGTCGCTGGTTCGGTTGTCTTCGTCCACTTTCCATTGAAGTCGCGATGCCAGGTCCATTGAAACAACGGACAGGTCGATTGCGGAGGTATTTCCTGTACGAGGATCTTGTCGCGTGTGTTCACCGTTATTGAGAATGGTCATATTGTGTTTTACAGCAAAGTTCTCGATGATTGTTCCTTTTGGATCGGTTTTTGCCCCTCCGCAGAGTGTACTGTGGGAGTTGAAATCCCACAAAAGAACAATAGGAGTGGGAAGTTCGGTGATCAATTTGTCTAGTTTGTCTTCTAGTTGCCTTATTGGAAAGTGACATGGAATGTACATAGAAGCGTATGTAGCAAGAACCGGGTGGTCAACGCGAGCAGCGACAACTTGCAATGGTGTGTTCAAGCGTATGAAAATATAGGGTACTGATTTGTTAACTGCTAAGCCCACTCCGTTTTGGGATGCCGATGTAGGTCCTGGCAGGATAACCCATTCGTATTCGGTTCGATGGAACCGATTCATCAATTCAATTCGGGAAAGTCGGGTTTCTTGTACAGCTATTACGGTAGGTTGGTACTGTGCTGCCAATAGTTGTAGTTCTGCATAACGTTCCTGGATACCGTTTACGTTCCATTGAATAGCAACACAACGTTCTTGTGGACGATTGGATGCGTGGGGTGTAGATGATGATTGGCCGCGTGTCACTTTAGGATGGTAGGCACTGAAGACGCCGTCATGTCTACGACTTGACTGGTGATGAACGTGAGCTGAAACGTACAATGCATCGGTTTCTTGTTCGTGTAAAGAAAAGGTATGAGTACTTGCCTGGGAAAGCAGGCCCCCCGCGCCGACTGCTGCCAAAGGCTCTTCAGTACATTCTGGGACATCCTTCGTCAGGGTCGGTGCAGGGAAAGGCCTAGGGTTATACAAATCCATTGAATCGCTGAGGTTGCCACTCCATCTCTGTTGGTGTTTTAAACTGCAGTTATCGTCTTCGGTGTTGAGGTGTGGTCTACTGGTCAATCTGTCTTTTTCACTACAAACGTCAAGAAAACGTTTGTTTCCGTTCGAGTTACTCTTATAAACAGATGTAGCTTTTATTGCAGTAAGAGGAAACTCATTCTTGTTCCTGTAACCAGAGGGGCCGGGTTTATTAGCATTGGTAAATTGTAGGTGATCGTATTCTTCTGCGCTGGTAGTTGCTTCAAGCGGTAAGGCTAGGTGAACCATGTCGGCGGGTGAATAAGTTTCACCAGTGGAAGGTGAATTTGAAGTTTGCACCATTGGCAGATATGATCCGGAGCTATTTGGAGTGTAGACGTCCGAGACTCCTGAGTACCGAGGGTTGTCCGCTAGTTCCGGTGGGGGTATGGCTTCCGCACTAACGGGGCCCCGACTACCCGAGGCGTCCGTCGTCTGTTGCATCCATATAGGGGAAAGGGTATGTTTACCCATTTGCGTCCCTGTGGTGTTTGAATTTATTGATGTGTGGATATTATTTAATTGCTGGTTTTTGGTTTCTGCTTCATGGTTGTCTTGGTGTGACTTCTCATCGTTGATCGTTTTGACTTCAGCGATTGATGTGGTATCAGTCATTGTTAAAAGCGAAAAAAGAACGGATTGTTTTTCATAGTGTGACGACGAGAAGAGAAGTACGGTGGTTGGTATCAATTTTACATTGCAGAATCTTCTTCTGACGATCCAAAAAGGTCTGTCTACATAACAAAAGTACTGGAATTGTCCGATTTGGAATGTTGTTTTTAGACTTTTGTTTTGGGGGGAATGTTGGTGTTGTCCGCAATAGACGAGCACGATTGTTTAAGTGATTGATGAGATCGTCTATCATTTGAACGTGATCGTTTGGCAGATTGGCCTCACGTCTGTGACCGCTTTGTAGAACAGCCTCTGGAACGTTCTGGCCTTGGTCTAAGTTCGCGTCCACGACTACGGCTTCAGCTTCTACGTTGCTTGGACGGCTGCACATTTGGTTGGTTTGTAAGAACTTTGCTGAAGATTTTGGTGGTTGTGTTGGTTGATTCGCTTATTGGAAGGGCAGGAGGTTCGTCACTCCTGGTTTCCACACTGTTCTTTTGCAGCAAAGCGATGTATTGACCTTTCATTTGGTCAAGCTGAGTCTTTCACTTTCTCTCCTCTGCCTTTCCAGTTCAGCTTGCTGCTCCTCGAAGCGTCTCTCCCAGTCTTTCCTCTGCGCAATCATTTCATCACTTTGTTTATTTAGCCGATCTTCCATCTTTTGAGCGAACTCTTTAAACTTTTTCTCGCTTCCAGCATGTTGTTGGTTAGATTTCAGGAGTTCGTAATGCCTTTTTGCTGCATCGTATGACATTCCGCGATCTACTCTGAGCTTGGTGATGTCATTTTCCGCCACGTAAAACGGGCATCTCCGGCTAGAAACTGGATGGTCGTTAGTATTACACTTGTTGCACTTAACAGGTAAATGGCAGAAAACTCCTCGAACAATCACTTGTTCCCCGGAGCATGTTCCACACGTATCTTTCTTTGAGCAGCGTAGTTTTGTGTGCCCAAACTTCCAGCACTTGTAGCATTGCATGGGAACTGGATAGTAGGGTCGTGTCTTAACTCTGAGGAATCCGAGGTATATGTAATGTGGAGGGAAGGTTCCATTGACGCTCAGAATCATCATGGGGGTGTTGATCCTTTCCTCTCCGTTACCCTTCTTGGTGATCCGTCGTATTTCGACAACCCCTTGACCATCTAGGAGTTCCATGATAGCCTGGTCAGACAACTTAACTACATCTGGGCAATGTACGACAAATTTGACGAAGTTATGTAGGGGTTCCGTCGGTCAGTGTCTTCATGTTTTTTTTTTAATTTCAGCACCTGATCCATCTAGCGAACCTTCAGGACGTAGCGGGTTCCCCGGTTCTCGGGAAAAGCCCCTTCAATTTTTCCACAGCAGCTGGTAACAGAAACGCAAACGATACCTGGGTTCTCGGGAAGTTTGGCGGGCTCTACCGGTTGCAGTTGAAGAACGTTCAATTCTCCACCTTCGCCTGAAGGGTCCATCTATTTTGGAATTGTTCGTCCTCTGAATGAGCCATCGAACATGTTGCCAGGGTGATATTCCAACCCCGTTTCATGGTTGGGAGATGATGATTGTGGTATTTGCTGTTATTTGCTTTCAGGTAATTATAACTATCCTGATCAAGAAAAAACGTCGACAGTGGAATGGTTCCTGATAATGTCGTAGAATCAAGGAATAATTATCGTTCAAAAATTATACCTTGTCCATCGTAAATTCACTTATCTGATGCAAATAACATACCTAGTTTTGACTGCCGAATCTCGGAAACTTTGGCACCGGTGAGCAGCTCAGAAATGAGTTTTTCTGAGATCTCAGCAAAAAATGCCAAAATTACCATCGGAGCATATTTTTTTCTATTAAATATGTTGCCAGAAACAAATACTAAAACCAACCTATGAAAATAAGGGTAGCAGATTTATGCCGTCTGCAAACTTCCACTACATAATCGAGATGTTCCAATTATCAACCCATTAACAGCCTGTCGCCACCATTACTTGAACTGTCGCGTCGCCTGCCTGCCACATTCCGGAACTCTACCCGTTCAATCATGATATATTGATCGTTATGTCGCGCCAAATGACCAGGCTTATTTTTTGTTGCTCTCATTTGGTACCCGCAGATCGATAAAGCTAAGTCACAGTCCTGCCGTAATTCCCATCACCTAATGGTTTTCTTTTCGGCACCGACGTTTGCGGAATCTATCAAGTAGTTCGGCGCGAGTCTGAAAGGAGATTAACGAGATTATTGGTGAAAATTAAGTCGCGACACGCGTCTTGCCGCCAAGTAGGATTGTTTGCATAGAGATTAAACAATCGCTTGACGCCACGGCGTGCGCTCGGGCACACATTCCACGGCGATTGTTGTTCCTATACCTACAGAGCAAAATATGTATAAATTTCAAATTTATGTAACATCTATTCCTCTCAAACTGAGTTGTTCTGTTAAAAGAAACATCTTCCACCCGGGCTGCAAACCGGACCCCGAGGGGTAGTAAATCCACTCGCAGCAAAACCGGTTCCACACGTCCGCGTTCTTGACTCCATTGGAAACTCTATACAGCCCCACACAAAAATGCGACCTTACCGGGCTCTACCCATCAGACTTGACTCGTTTGATTGCCTTCGGAAAAGGTCACCAAGGACGTTTTCAGCTCCACCCGTTGTCTACTGGAATTTTCACACAAAATTTATAACCTTTCCACGCATGCTTCACCAAGCACATAAAACATTTTTATTGAACCAAATTAACATTTGCGAAAACCTATACGCACACTTCACACATTTTTAGCTTCTATTTCTACTCTTCTTCTACAACCGATCGCGTATCCGTGGCAAGAGTAGGATCGTCGTCTCGAATTACACCGCCCGCGCTCACCCAGTCGGTACCGGATCTATCCGGATTAACTTCGTCGCGTTCGCCAACCGTAACTTTTTTCGGGGAGTTACCTTTTATGGCATTTTTCTGGGTGCTGCTCGCTTTTTCGTACAGCCCAAAAAGAATCTAATTTGGGTTGCAAATTGCTCGCATTCCGATTAACGCCTTCTTTCCCCACGATTGTAAAACAACTAATAACAACAAAGAAGACTGCTACCATCACTACGCAGTAGCTCAGCCCTCTTTCTACGGTGGATTTAAATAGTCCCAGAATGCTTATCATTCCAAAGTTGCTGAATATTCATACATGTGCTTAATATAGTGCCGCTTTAAACGTCACTTATTTCGGTTTGTTAATCGCTCCAAATATTTACGTTCGACAAATTTCCCACCCACCCATTTTTTGGCAAATCCATCGCAGCCGGTCACTCCCGCAAATTTGGTTCGCTGAAAATGATTATGTCTTTGCTGTTGTTCCGTTTGATGATTCGCTGTCAGGAAACGGCAGCCGTTCCGGTCAGCGTGCCAGTCCACTTTTCGCTAACGGCCCACAGCCACTTGGCCAGACGGTCGTCCTTTGCCTGCTGGGCCACGTCCTTCGGAGCACAGTCACTGAAGTACTGACCCGAAACCTTCTCCAAATCGGGATCCAGTGCCACGTGCAACGTTGTCTGCGCCCCGGACAGTGGGGATTTCAGGAATGGCCAAACGAATGGCTTGATCAGGAAGCTCGAGAACCAACTGTTGAACACGCCCATGTGTCGCATCAGCTCCGTATCCACGATTCCAGGGTGCAGAGCGTTGACCGTAACTCCCGTCCCTTCCAATCGCTTGGCGAGCTCTCGCGTGAACAACACATTGGCGAGCTTGCTCTGCTCGTACGCTTCGGCCGGGTCGTACTTGTTGGTGCTGTTCAAATCTTCGACATTGATCTTGCCTCGGGTGTGGGCAATGCTGGATACGACCACAACTCGACTAGGGGCGGACAGTTTCAGCAGATCCAGCAACAGGTTGGTGAGCAGGAAATGACCCATGTGGTTGACTCCCAGTTGCAGTTCGATGCCTTCGGCGGTGAGCGATCGCGGGCAGCGCATGACGCCGGCGTTGTTGATCAGCATGTCCAGGCGGTTCTGTTCGGTTTTGAATCTGGAAGAGAAGGGCGGGGTGTATTTGTTTGGCTGTTCAAATTGTTTTATGCTTATAAGTATTCTAAAAACTGTTGGTTATACCATAGAGGTAACTCTAAGACCAGAAGGTCCCGTAGAAACGTGCTCAACTTTTAGGCTCAGCTCTGATACTATCTTCGGAACCAAGCTAATTGGTGCACCCCTCGAAACATAGGAAAATCCACGAACCCCCCATATTATCTGTACTAGAATTTCGACTAGAATGAGGTACGTTAATCGATTTGTTTGAGACCAATAGGCTAGTCAAGTAGTGAGCCAATTTAAAATCGTAAGTTTCCACCGGTTGGTTATACCTCTATTGTTCAGAGCAAAAAACGTTACGATCATAAACTAAAACTAGCCCTGATGAAGATCTCAACCCCGGATCGAAACTTTGACGATAAAACTGTATTCAGAAAACATGAAACCCGATTGAAAATTACTGATTCAGCAAAATCTCGAATGTCTAGACTTTTCTGAAATTTTCAAAACTATTCTGAAGATATTGGAACTGAACTCCAATGAAGTTCTCTAGACTTCCATAAATTTTTCATGAGTTTTAAAAAATTCCCGCAATTTTCCTGAAGTTAATTGAACGTCTTAAAATCTTGAAGCTCCCGTAATTGTTTCCAAAGTTTTCGATACTTTTTTTGAGATTCATGGAATTTCCCTAAAAACTCTAACCTTTCCTGAGCTTCTCCAGACTTGTCAAAAGTTTTCATTCCTTCATGAAGTTCCCTATATTTTCAAGCAATTTTTGAAACTTTTCCAATAATCCAACCAATTTATTGATATTTATTAAACTTCCCTGAAGTCTCCGAAATGTTTTAGTATTTTTTGAAAACTAACGGAACTGCTGTAAAGTTCATTTCCTAAAACCATTAAACTTATCTTTAGTTCCCTGAACTTCCCTGAAGATCTCGGAACTTTGCTGAAGTTTTAGGAAATTCCCCTGCGTTTCTCTGATTTTTTTTAAGTTCCTGTAATATTTGTGAAGTAATTTGAACTGTCCTTGGTGCTGTCCCTAAACAGATCTACAAATTTCCCAGAAAGTCTTAACTTGCTTGAAGCTACTGGGACTGCCCTTGAGATCCCTGAGCTTCCCTGAATATCTTTAGACCTTGCTTCAATGAGACTCTTGAAACTAGAACTATTCCACAGCCGCAGACAGTATATAAGCAAGTCAAACAAGCAATCTTTTGCCTGTGCACTTGAGAATATACCTCAAATCCTCTCATCCATCAATGTATGAACTAGGTAAAGAAGTGTGCGTTTGATTAGTATTGTCGCATTAATGGCCCTTCGCTCAATTTCAACATCTGTTCAATCGTCAAACTGCCGTACTCTAGCGGAACTATCAATCTATTCTCTTCAGAACTTTATCTAGCTAATAAATTATCGCACACGCATGTTGATATTAGTATAGAATTTCCTCCCAACTCTGAAAATCGTAAACTTCACGTACGAAGTAACAACACACTTTGATTGAATGTTCCCTGGAATGCCTAAAATTTTAAAGAAGTTCCCTTATTATCCCGCAGTCTGTTCATAGAGCTTCTCAAAATCCACGGTAATTCCTTTCATTTCTTAGAGCTTCTCCTACATTTTTCATGAACCACCCTGAAGTTCCCTAATCTTTCCTGAAGTTCTTACTACTGATCTGATGATGTTCCAGAATTTTCACGAAAATTAATTAAACTGTCTTTAAGATCTCTAAACTTTCCGACGTTTTCTGCACTTCCTTGAATTTCTCGAACATCTGTGACGTTTCTTAAATTGTTCATAAGTTCTCTAAACATCCTTAATGTCCTCTGGACTATTTTTAATTTAAGTTCCTTCTAAAAGCTTCTCGAAATGTTCCTGAATTTTTCGGAACGATATTAAGGTTCTCGAATTTTATCTGAGGTTCTCGGAACTTTCGAAATTTTCCTGATGATTCTGTTTGGGATCACAGAACTGCCCAAAGAATTCTTAAATAATAACAATTAATTTCTAGAAGAATATCAAAAAAAATTTGGGAGCGTTCTAAGGGAATTTTGAGTTTTGACGAGAATCTCAAGGAAATTTTGACAGAATGCTTAGAGAATGCAGAATAGAATTCCTTAGGAAATAATCAGGGAAATATCAATTAATCTGGAAGCATTACATGTGAATTTTGGAAGAATACGTATAAAATACAGAGGAGAGTTCCTAAGAAATTTACAGGAGAATTATGTGGAGAATCCCAAAATAAAATCTAGGAATTTCTAGGAGAATATAAAAAAAAAATTGGGAGCATTCCAAGGGAGTTTTTGGTTTTGAGTCGGATCCCATGGAAATTTTGGCAGAATGCTTAGCGAATAGAGAAGAGAATTCCTTAGGAAATTTCCAAGAGAATATCAATAAATCTCGGAGCATTCTATGGAAAATTTTGAAGAATACCTAGAAAATGCCTGGGGGAGTTCCTAGGAAATTTACAGAAGAATTCTGTGGAGAATTCTCAATTTCTAGAAGACTTACTTACTTATCCTGGTCCGACATCCCTTAGGATTGCACCTGCATCACAATGTTACGCCAATTCACTCGGTCCGTGGCTGCTTGTCTCCAATTTCTTGACCGTCCCACACTTCCAAGATCCTGCTCCACTTGGTCTAACCACCTTGCTCGCTGTGATCCTCTTCGTCTTGTACCGGCCGGATTCGAGGCAAACACCATTTTTGCGGGATTTTTTGTAGGCATTCTTAAAACGTGTCCCGCCCATCGCACCCGTCCAGTTTTCGCAACTTTCTGGATACAGGGTTCGCCATAGAGTTGCACCAGCTCGTGGTTTATCCTTCGCCTCCATACACCGTTCTCACATACCCCGCTAAAGATGGTCCTAAGCACTCGTCGTTCGAAAACACCCAGTGCTTGCAGGTCCTCCTCGAGCATCGTCCACGTTTTGCCTTTTTATATGCTGGGCATATTACTCCCTCTTTCCACTCCTCCGGTAGCTGTTCTGTATCCCAGATCCTGACTATCAGTCGGTGCAGACAAGTGGCCAACTTATCCGGGCCCATTTTGATAAGTTCCGCTCCGATACCATCTTTCCCAGCTGCTTTGTTGTTCTTAAGCTGTCGGATAGCATCCTTAACTTCACCTATCGTGGGAGCTGGCATGTCCTCCTCATCCGCTGTACCGACGAAGCCATTCCGCCTGCCGCCTTGGTCCTCCGCCTCTGCGCCGTTCAGATGTTCATCGTAGTGCTGCTTTCACCTTTCAATCACCTCACGTTCGTCCGTTAAGATAACCCCTTCCTCATCCCGACACATTTCGGCTCGCGGCATAAAGCCTTGACGGGATGCGTTGAGTTTCTTGTAGAACTTGCGTGTTTCTTGGGATCGATACAGCTGCTCCATTTCTTCGCACTCCCTCATCAGGCAACGCTGCGTCGAGGCATTGCACGTACTCAGTTGCGACTTCGGGCAACTTCAGTCGCTCTAGATTGTACCGTGGCGGGCGTTGGTACCGAATATTGTTGGCAACGGAAGGTTTTTGGCGCACCTTGACCATTAGAAGGTAGTGGTCCGAATCGATATTTGCGCCGCGATAAGTCCTGACGTCGATAATGTCCGAGAAGTGCCTTCTGTCGATCAAAGCGTGGTCGATTTGCGTCTGCTACGGTGATCTCCAGGTGTACCGATATGGGAGGCTATGCTGGAAGTAGGTACTACGTATGGCCATGTTCTTAGAGGCGGCGAAATCGATGAATCTAAGGCCGTTAGCGTTCGTTAGCTGGTGAGCGATGAACTTTCCTATAACCGGTCAGAATTCCTCCTCCTGGCCGACCTGGTGAGCGCTGAACTTTCCTATAACCGGTCAGAAGTCCTCCTCCTGGCCGACCTGAGCGTTAAGATCTCCGATGACGATTTTGTCATCATGGCTTGGGCAGCTGTCGTATTCCCGTTCCAGCTACGCGTAAAATCTTTATCGTCATCATCACTTGCTAAGTGAGAGCTGTGCATGTTGATTATGCTGACATTGAAGAAACGGCCTTTGATCCTCAACTTGCACATTCTGCTATCGATTGGCCACCACCCAATCGCGCGCTTCTGCATTTCGCCCATCCTGCAGCGCTACGATGTCGAACTTGCGGACCCTCAATAAATCGGAAAGAATGCGGGTACTTCCCAAGAAATTGAGAGACTTGTAGTTCCATGTTCCGAGTTTCCAATAGTTAGTGCGTTTCCGTTGCTTGGGTCTATGCTGATTGTTCCGGTCCGTATTTACATTGCGTGCTTCCTGTACTTTTGTTTTTTTACGGCTGGCTTGTAGGGCATGCACCAACCCCCATTGTCTTGCCAGAGGACCATCGTGCACAGCACTGTTGATCAGCCGCTCCTAACATGGAGACCAGACGCCGTTTTGAGCCGCACCTCCATGGTGAACAGACGCACGAAGACTGCACTCATCGAAAAGAGGAGCCCCCCCCCCCCCCCTTCTCTGTCAGCATACGACCAAGGTCCCACCGGGGTTGGTTATCTGATCTTCCCTATGGTTACGCGTACCCCAGCTGGCACCGCGAGGAGCTAGGAATAGGAGTTACTGGACAAGAGGCTAAGGACCGCTGGTGGGGTCTATTTTATACCTGCAGATACGCGAAGTATCAATGGAACGCATTGTCCAGCCGTTTACCAAGTTTCTAGAAGAATATCAAACAAATTTTGGGACCATTCCAAGGGAGTTTTGAGGAGAATCCCAAGGAAATTTTGACATAATGCTTAGAGAATGCAGAATATAATTCCCAAGCAAATTATCAAGAGAATATCAAAGAATCTGGAAGCATTCCACTTGAATTTTGGAAGAATACTTAGAAAATGTATTACTTCACTACATATATATGTACTCTACTGAAGTTTTAGAAACTTCTGTAAAGTCCCTGCATTTTGTTTCAAATTAATGGAACTGCCCTGTAGTTATTTGATCTTCACTAAATTTACATACATTCTCCTGAAATCTATGGAACTGCACAGAAGCTTTCGGAACTTACCCTAAAAGCTTTTCTGTAGTACAGGACGTTCTTGAACCTACCCTACCCTGACGTTTTGGAACATCCTTTAAATTCTTGAAAATCACATCAAATTCTGAGAACATTTTGAAGTTTTCCGCATTTTTTAAATTTTACGGTTTCAATTGTTTTCATTAAATATCACAAAATGTTCCACTTGTTCGAAGTAAAGTTCTTGTATTTTTTTCAAAAGTCAATCGAACTTCAATAAAGGTTCCAGAATTTTCCGAATGTTTATGGAATTATGCTGAATTTCTCAGAACCTTCATAAAGCTCTCGGCCTTTACTAAAAAAAAACTTCACACGTTCCTGACGTTTTGTGACTCTGAATTTTGCCCCATCATGGCCCCCTTTACACCACCTCCCAATGCTAATGTCGGCGGCATCTGGCGGTGAGTAGCGGAACTTCGTGATGTGACTGCGTGCTATCCAGGGTGGTGGTGGGCGTTGTTTGCACTTTAATATTTGGATCCTTTCCTGGCATCCCTAATAAAAAAAATACCATAATCAAACGATAACCCAAATGATTGAACTGTATCCTGTAAATCTACTCTAGTTCAAGGGTCTTGAAATTTTTTCAAGGTCCAGAATTTTATTCGTCCGAAGAGCGGACGAAGAATAGTTTTTCCCGATTTGTCATCAAAATGCGCGGTCTTTTCCCGGTGTTTTCAAATTCCCGACGTTCCTCTAGGTTCTTCCGATTTCTAGGTTTACTGGTCACCCTGTATTTGGAACAATCGTTAGAAACGGAGCCCTATGAATTACTTGGAAGATCTATGAACATCTAGAAAATTATATGCATTTCTCTAAAGTCCTGTGAACTGCATGAATGTTCTATGAACTAGTGAAGGGAATGCTGACACGAAATTAATTCAAAGAAAACGGAAAAGAAAGTGGAGTTCTGTGGACCTGTCGAAAATTCTGTAAACTTATAGGTAGTTCTGTGTCTGAAGTTCAGTGAAATTGACGGACATTCTGTAAACTTGCCGGAAGTTTTGTAAACTTGTCGGTATTTTTTGTGAACCTGTTGGAAGATCTTCAACAGTTCAACAATTCAAGTCACGTCTCTCAGATATTTAAAAAAATACCAGGTTGACCAGGAATTATTCCAAAGACCTTCAGTTGATCAGAGATCTCCATAAAGTAATTTGGATATTTTTTCAAGACTTCAAGTTGGTCAGATATTGTTCTGAAGATCTTCAAAAGTCCAACAATTTAAATCACGTCTCTCAGATATATTTTTTTAAGATATCAAGATGATCAAGAATTTTTCCAATGACCTTCAGTTGATCAAACATCTCAATAAAGTCCTTTGGATATTTTTTCAAGACTTCAGGTTGATCAGATATTTTACTGAAAATCTTCAACTGTCCATAATTTCAAGCTACGTTTATCAGATATTCTCTTAAGATATTAGGTCGACCAGGAATTAGACCAAAGACCTTCAGTTGACCTTTTATTTTCTTCGCATTTCAAGCTTATAGCTTATCTTTTATTAGCTTATTGCGTGCTCTCAACTAAGTGTTCTAGATGCACTCCCACAGTTATTAATTGAGAGCTTTCGATGCCGGTACCATTTTTGTATTAGTATAATTGTGTGGCAAGTAAAATCATACTATATGCCCAGGGAAGTCGAGAAATTTTCCAACCCGGAAAACTCCTGGACCGGACTGGGAATCGAACCCAACCACCTCCAGCATGGTTTTGCTTTGTAACTGCTTCGACTTAGACTAAGTAAATGTTGACAAAAACTGTCGAGAGTTGCTCACCATCAATACACATTGAGATCACTATCAATGCAATCGGCACCCAGCGGCAACCGGAGTGTTTCGGCAGCTGCTGGACACGATGCTCACTGAACTCAACTGTACTGCGGGCTACCTCGACGATGTTACAGTCGACGAATAGTTCTGGTCGATATGTGCTCGTTCAGTCAGCGACAATTCAAGTACCAGAGACCAGATACCCGTGGATTTATGAGGCTGACAAACGTCTCTTAAGTTGAATCGTTTGCAGGAGCGATTAAGTACTGCGGATAGCTCGTCTCGAGTATGCAACCGTTGCATTTCCCGCTGGATCATCTTCTGAACAAGAAGTTCGCCTGATCTGTCAGCAGAATTCGATTTGCTTCTAACGCAAACAATACATAACGCAAGATAGTGGTAGCAGCGGATGTCACAAATTTCCAGATGCAATCCTACACTCGTGAGCGGCTCGCGATTATCTTCGCTATGACCAAGTTCCGCAATTTGCTTTTTGGTCGGAGCTTCACACTACAAACAGATCACGCTCCACTTTTTAGGATCGAAAAATGGCATTCCCGTCTACTTGTTTATTATCCAGGATGGAACTGGTTCCAACCCGTGTGAACTCGAGCTTATTGTTAGTGTGAACCTCAACCCGAGCCAGCCACTGACGTTTGACAGACAACAAGCATACCCAATCTTGAAACCCGATACAGGTTGGAACTGAATCAAAAACAAACTCGCTATACATGGCGAACGGGCTACAGCTATTACTCTACGATTTGAACTTGGTCTACGCGAAAACGACAAAGTTCGGAAACGCCGATATCCTATCCCGGTTGATAGATCAACACGTCAAGCCCTAGGAAGACTTCGTCGTAGCCAGCATCATCACGGAGAACGATTTAAGATCCATTGTATTAGATTCATGTTACGTACTTATTTTCAATTTCAGAGCAATACAGCACGTCACCCGCTCCTACCCTTTAATCAACAAAGTCCATTGCTCAATTCAGCAAGTTTGAGATCCAGCAACATTTCAACCGAAGCGATTCATCCGTCGCTGTCGTGCCCATGGCAGTACGTCCACATCCATAACGCTGGGCCTATTGAAGAAGAGAAGCTGTTCCAGCATCGATTCGTACTCGAAGTGGGTGGAAATCGATAACACCAACTGCAACGAATCGAATGACCCAAAACAGTTGGCTATCTCGGTGTCATCTTTAACAGCAAGTTGCTATTCGATGCTTTTTTTCTGTTGTAGGTCTATTACGGGCTCGATATGCAACTGCTAAAACAACTAATATCAATCGACGAACCATTGGCAAACTGTTGGTAAAAAATAAGCACCCAGTCTATAAACAGTTGATTTTACCATCAGTGATCGAATATGGAAGCCCTGTATGGAGCACCAGTCAACCATGGAGCATCATAAGCTGTAGGTAATTGCTAACCGCTTACTGACGAAACCATGATTCTGCCAACAGTCAGATTTATTGAGAGTTTAATATTGAGGAAGAAAATTCATGTTTCAATTGAAAAACATTTAGTATTTATAATAAGTCTATCACAAGAGCAAAACAGTCACGACAGACATTAATCGCACACTTAACCAGACAAATTTATCCAGTTTTCGCACAGCAACAGCTGTAACAACTCAGTTTCAAAGAAATGGCAATGCATTGCTGATCTAAATAGCTGATAGACTGTAAGCATGTATACTACCCACAAAAGCTTAACTGTCCCATTTGAATAGGAAATCAAGCAAAGATGGGACAGTTCTGTGTTATTCTTTCAACTCCCGCAACTTAAAGAACCCCACATACACTCTACCTAAATCATACTCACTGTTTGACAAACTTCCGCACCGACTGCAGCGAGCTCAGATCGCACTCCCGGCAGTACACGTTAGGATTCTTCGTTTCCAGCACGATGTCCTGGCGGGATTCCTCGCATTTGTTCAAATCCCGGCACACCATGTAAACGTGAGCTCCCCGGTTGGCCAGCCCCATGACCGTTTCCTTCCCGATGCCGGTATTGGACCCGGTAACGATGACAATCTTACCATCGGCTCGAACATCCCTCCGCTCGAAGCGGGCTCCCTGCATGTAGTCTCTAAAATTTACGGAAGATCAGATAGCAAGTGTTTCGTAATCAACCGGGAAGCCGCTGTCAGGTTGGTGTACTTACTTGAGCAGGACACCGGCTCCCACAAGCGATCCAGCTGCGCTCAGTCCCAAAACCAATTTGCTTCGGAAGATCGACATTTTGGTGTCTTGGTTGTTGCGCTTTCCTTGACAATTTACACACTTTTTAACACATGATTTCCGAGACGAATCGGGAAAAGTTACAACTATGTGAAAACGCTAGCGAAAAATCGATAATATTTACATTACGACGAAGCCGACTGACAGTAGAGGATTTTTTTTACTATCGATTGTAAGCACGTGACAGAATTGAAGGCCAACTGTTTGTCACGAATGGAAGGATTGGTTGGGGACGTGTGAAGTTGGCAGTTAATATTTTTTATTATACTACCGATAATGTGGTTTTTGCTTGAAGTGGGTGATCTGATATTGACTAAAATCTATTTAAAAAATTAAAAGACAATCGCTTGCTTCAATTCTGTTCGAATAACCTCATTATTGCAGCAGTTTATAAATACTTACAACTGTCTGTTCAAAAGATACCTTGAAATATTTCCGTGGGCCTATTTTCCTAAAGCGAGCTAGCTAACCACCCTATCCAGCATTTGACAGCGTAATGGCAGGGACCGAGACGGAACCAACACAAGCACCTTTTCATTCATAATGCGAACAGCTACTGCAATGCATACAACAGTTACTACCAACAACTGGAAGGACACCGCACACAAAATCCCGCTGCTCACCACCGAACCTGACGTCGGATTTGCATGTGTGAGTGCATTCGGACGCAAATCAAACGAAGGCGAACGAATGAAGGAAGGAATGAATGGGATAACAACTGCGAGTCGTCTCGCTCTGATCTGTCTGGCTGACAGCAGACGAACTCCCACACAAAGAACCGTTGTTTGCAGTGGTGTTCGATCGTCGTCGGGTCGGGGATCCGTGCACAAGCTACGTTCTAAAAATTGATACCAGATCAAATTGATCTTTAAATTATTTTAATTTTTCACTCGCTAGTTCAATGTAAGGAAAATATTGAGTCAAACGGAGGAATATAAAAAATGGTTTGAATGTTACATCGAAGCAGACGGAAATATGCCATAACATCGGGTGTGTAAGGTTATTATGTGGTTGAACGATGTACACACAACTTCCGATCAAATTTAGATCCTTTATATCCACACTCAAAAAATTTATCACATATCTAATGGATGAAATCCATGAGGATTTTACATAGCTTTCCTGTGATCACATAGCTGCAAATCCAACCACAAAATCACATGAATATTAGGGGGCCGATGAAATTCATATGAAAAATCCATTAATTTTGATTATGGATGAAAATCATATGTGTTTCCAATGGAAGCTACATGAAAACTATTTTCGGTGCAGGCTTGGGTAGTGAACCGAGGACTTCGTGCAAAAAATGTCGTCGAAGCGGTTCACTGGAATTAATATTTTATTCATGAATTCGATGTTTATTCAACTGATAAATGTTCAACAACTAACTTGGTGAAGAAATTAGAACTATCTACACGAACCATGCTTCAAAAAACCGTGCGCAGAAAAAATTTCATATTTTTATTAATGAATTTCCATGTGGAATTCCACACAATATTCCACAAAATCATATGTTGATCACATTGAATAAAATCATGTGTGGGACACATAAATACAATATGAGATTTTTTCTAGTGTGCTGAGCTGACTGGGACTTGAGGAGAATTGCTCGGTTTAAAGGCTTTCGCAGTCTTAAGCACTGCAATGACTAAGATGTAATCTGCCCAGCTTTTCGGCCATGGGTGTTGTGGCTTTTTTCAATGGAAAATAGTATCTGTCGTTATTGTCAATAGTGTAGTCATTGTTGTGATAGATTTGGTTTCATTTAATGATGTGCGGAGACAAACCAGCCCAGAGCTGGAAGTTTTAGTAAAGATATATATAAAAAAAACATCATTTAATGATATTTAAGGAAAAGACTAAATGTCACTATTTTGATCATCAGTGAGGACAACGATATTTTTTTAAATCCTGTATGTATAGTTCGGAAAAAACCTAATTTCTATCACAATTGCTTAATGGAACAATAATCCATGTGTTTTTTGTCTCACATTTCATTAACATATTTCCGACCATATTTCAGCGGAGATTCAGAAGCTCTTCTTGCATGGATTTAAGCTGGAATCAAAATGATAAATCTACTTAAATTCACGTAGGGATAATTTTGATCCACTTACTTACTGGTTCATAGTGGATTTCACTAGTATGAGCACTATCTTTCTGTTAAAAAGAGCACTTGAGCCTGAATCCATTCCAGCAATCCATTTTGGTGGAACCCGAATCAGATTTTTTGCGAGTGTGAACGAGGTTGATTTGTTAAATTAATATTTTTGAGGAATTTTTAATTGCATTTAAAATCTTTTTTTCAATTCGGTTATATCAAAGGCTAAAACGTCTGAGCCTTACAGTGCCAAATTAAGTAAGTGATTAGTTTTAAATTTTGTTGGATCTTATTTTATAAATAAGTATTGATAAATTAAAACATAATACAAATATTCAAAATTAATATTAGTTTAGTTTAATTCAATTTTAAGAAATTTAATTTTCAGATAAAGATAATTTTCAATAAGGAATACAGAAATGTTTCGTTTTAGGGGCCTCATAGCCTAGTCAGTAAAGGCACGGTATTACCAAGCCGGAGGCGGCGGGTTCGATTCCCGGTCCGGTCGAGGGAATCTTTCGGGTTGGAAATTTTCTCGACTTCCCTGGGCATAGAGTATCATTGTGCTTGCCACACAATATACAAATTCATGCATTGGTATTGGCATTGAAAGCTCTCAATTAATAATTGTGGAAGTGCATTTAGAACACTAAGTTGAGAGCACGCAATAAGCTAATATGCGCTAAGCAATAAGCTTGAAATGCGAACAAGAAGAACTGTTTCGTTTCATGGAATCACGCTCTGAGTGTCAATAATGGGATAAAGGTACATCAATGTACAATAATTTTATCTGAGTGTATACCCCAAGATATTTTCTCTACTGTACTAAAGTACTAAACGTTCTAGAAGTCATCAAAATGCTACACTCAATAGTTTCGTCGGAAAAAGCAAATGTCCCAATATTTTTAATTTTGTCCCACTGTTAGAAAGGTCAAATCGGGTCAAACATACATTAGATCGTATGAATAAACGCGTTTACTTTACTTTTCCCGTAAGAAAAGCACGGGAAAGTAAAGTAAACTCTTTTTATTTATACGGCCCATTGACTTTTGTTAGACATACTTAAATCGTAATTCAAATTTTACATTTCAACTTAACTTTCCTCCAATATTTTACCTGCTATTAAATAAGGTGAAAGTAAAGATAAGAAAATATCTGGGCATGAGTCCAGGAAATATTTCGATCTAGGTATAAAAAAATCAGATAACAAACCGAAGAATCCAAATCCCAAGTGTAAAAGTCTAGATTTTAAACCTTCTAGACATGTCTAGAACACTTGGTCCAACAAATCTATGTGATTCCGTGTTCTAGTCGATCTAATTTCAATGTTGAAGAAAGTCAACCAAACGTCAAACCAAATGATGTTTGCTCACTGCTTTAAAAAGTTGAAACTTTCAAAATTAATTGTTCTACTGTCAAATCTCAATGAACATTTCAAATGGTCCTCTCTGCTTTGATCGATTCTCTTCATCGACTTTCTCTTTTCATAACCACTGCTATGCAAACAGATTTCTCGCTAATTCTACCACATAGTTTGATAAAGGAGGTTCTTATCTAGCGTCCAGAACGTCAAATGCAACAGGGAAAGGTTTTGCAGCTGAGTTATTGACGAAAGAAAAAGTCGATGAAGAGATAGGAACTTTTGCAGATAGGAACTTTTGAAATGTTTATTTAGTAATGAAAAACTTGGCAGGGTTGGAATTAAAACCGGATTCTTGTTCTTTAAAAACTAATATTTGGATTGAATATGCGATATATTCAAAACGATAAGTGCTATCTTGAATGGGAAAGGAATATATTTTGAAATTGAAAACAAAAATAGCATCATTTTTCATTTTATATTTGTAATAATATTAAATTTAAAGTTTTGATTACTACCCGCATAAACAATAACCATAAGAAGCGCCTAACCACCAATTCGGAATATCATCCCAACTTTATGTGGGATAGTCGTACCATCTATGATATCGTTAGAGTATGGTACCCGTTTATTAGGGTAGTCAAAAAAAACTACAAAAATATATATTTGAATGGATTAAAATTTTTATTATGATTTACAACTAATGAACGCTTCTCGTTGTTACGAACAGTTGTCCGCTCAGGTCGTGCAGACAAACTTTTAAATAGAAAGCAGAGGCTACGCAGCAGTTCAATAGGGCTTGATCCTTGTCCGCCAGGAATTAGATTAGGTCGTTTCCCCTAAGGCACATACTGAAAATCGTCAACACGTCGTCCTGGAAAATTTCGTAGTCTGATATAAACAATAATCTAACAATCTGAAACTATAACATTGAAAATTGTACCTAGCATTTGGAACGTCAATTGCACATGGGTCTCTTCGTGGATCCAAAATGACGATGAAAATGGTATCGAGTATGGTATCGAGCTAAGGATTGAGGTTGAGAATTTGGATGAGTGTATTAAGTAGGGAAGAACAGAGAATATACGCTATGGAGATCGCTCATCTTATAACTAAAATATTGGAGATCCCACCAGGTATGCACAACTTGAAGAAGCATGAAATTAAAAATGCATTCCCTGGAATTAGTCATGTTTAATTGAGTTGTAACTCAGAATGTTCATGAACTAGATTCATCGGTGGATTGATACTTTTTCAATAAAATCGACATTATTCTGCTTATACCATTCAATGACATCCCTGCTGTAATGGCAGCTGGATAAGTCGGGCCAGAACTTTACGGGACCTTTTGCGACTGAATGAATGGCAAAATTCTCTTCTGGAGACATTCCTCCTTGTAAATTTGTCCATTCATAGTCACTCCAATGATGAAAACCTTTGTTTTCTTCCCAGAACTGCAGATGCCTTGTCAAATCATCAACTTGCGAGCGACTGTATCTGCAAAGACAAATTTGAACTTACCCGGGGCATGCCCCTTACGTTTGGCAAGGTAATATTATTGTCCCGGAATTTTTCCAGAGTCCATTTTTACGTAAAAAAATGTGTATCGTCCATCAAAATACATACGTTATACTTGGTCAGAACTTACACGTACAGCTTCCTTGCATGTTTGCTGGCAACCAGGTTTTGTTTCAGCGTTCTTGTGGGATGTTTACTGGCATGGTTCTCGCATACAGATTTGCTGAACTGTACTGTGCGCCGCACTGAACCTTTCGCCAAATCAACTTTTGGACTATGATCTTCGCTCGTAATATCCGGTCATATGTTCCAGTTCTATGATTATTTTCTTTGTGCGATCCAACGTTAGTGATTCTTGGTAGCGTTTAAGGTTCAATTCACTTTGATGCATTTCTGAAAAATTCAAATGCAGTTTTTTTTCAACGCATCATTTCAGATTGCAAAAAGCTTGCTTCATTTTCTGTAAAATAGCAAAAAGAATAGAATGACGCGAGCTTTTTGAAATCTGAAATGATGCGTCGAAAAAAAACTGCATTTGAATTTTGAAAATGCATCAAAGTAAATTAAACCTTAGGCACGGTATTTACAGTCGATTTTGGAAATTTTAGAACTTATGTGGTCATACCTCTTGATCACGCAGGGTTTTCAACGTGCAGTGTTATGACAAATAGGAGAACTATAAAAATAATAATGTTTTCATAGTTTTGGCACAAACAAAGTGACAGACGACTAACTGGTGAAGAAATCAATTAAAATAATGTGGTTTGCTGTAATATAATTTTCTAAGAAGCTTGTGCCATCAGCCACAGCCAGTTTTGATTTGAACAAAGTTGATTTTTTGTGCAATGATCTTTTACAACTAAAGACTACTCAATAGACATATAATACAGAAAACATAATTTCTTTTCAGATTTTTAGGTGTAAACATAGACTTCAGCTTTTCTACCACTGTAGCAGCAACCAGATTTAAATAAAATGCTCCATTCACAAAATAAAAGCATTTTAAGATAGCACCCGTATACTTCCCCGTGGAAAATTTTGAAACCATTATCACTTTCATAGTTCTTCTATTCTCCACGAGTGCCAACTTTGATTTGCCAATAGCAGGTTCGTCACCCAAGTTTTCGAGCCACTCCGTCTGTCACTTCTTTTGTGGTTTTGGTATATGAGAATATTTTTAAAATGCTTTTATTTTACGAATAAAGTATTTAAATAAATTTGGTCATGCATACGGAGTTGGAAAAGTTGAACTATGTATATCTAATCGAAAATTATCGGGTAGCTTTTGAGGTTTCTTGCCTGCATTAAAAAATTTAACAAATATTATTTTCGGAATAAATGCTTTTTAAGATTTCTCTCCTACACCTTACGGTGCAAAACTTTGAAACCATCATCATTTTTTCTATTTCTCCTATTTGCCATGAGAGCTATCGTTAGATCGCCAATTGCGGTGACAATTTTATCACTTGACCAATACAATACAATTACAATAGGGTTAATTGTCAACAATAGAATGTATTGTATTGTTATTTTATTAAAAGTTGATGGTTATGTTCATCCGGACAACGTCAACAACGTTTTTACATTATTTTAAATGATTTCTATGAATGTTTTTTGCATATATGTATAACTTCATATTTTTTTAATATTTGTTTAAACGTTCATAAATTAACGATTTACAGATTTAGCTACGTAATCTACACATGACCCCCAGTGATTCCGTCCACTGTCTGTGTTCCATTTGCGGCTGTGTGTGCGGTGGTGTTGTTCCGTCGGTCGGTCGTCGTGTCTTCCATCCGGCGCGGAGCGGAGCATTCCCACACTCCACTGTGTTGGTTGGTTCGCTTGATTAGTCAGTAGTGCATTTGCTTTCGCGTCGTCATCAACGTTTCAGCTCCCGTACGTGCAGTGTAGGAGGAAGCCGTGTGTGGTTGTTCGCTCGCCGTCGGTCGTCTCTCGTAGTAGGGCATTCATTCATTGTCCGTCGCGTTCCGTTCGGGGGATTTTGCCACTGCAGTGGTCTCTTCGTGGCGATTTAAAGTGAAGGTGGATTTGGAAGGTAATTTAACTTACAAGCTTAAGCCGTTAATTTTGTGAAATACTATATGAGTATTCTGGAAAATTGTATTCACAAATTTTCCGTGCAACATTCCTATAGAAAAAGAAAATAATAATGGTCATTCCTGCTGTTGCGTGTTCGGTTCAGATCGGTGCTGCTGTATATGGAAGTGTGTGTTGGTAAATAGAGACGTGTGGTGTGGCGTTCTCGATTTGTATGGAGATTTCAAAATGGCGATCAGCCTATCAAACTGTGTGCGAAAGAAAGAGACAGCGCAAGCGAGGAACCTGTCTACTGGTCGATGAGTGTATAGTGAAAACTTTGTTAAGGTGCATTCGGGAACTTGTTGCCAGCAATTGTTTTTATATATTTTTTGATATTGTCTTTGAAGGGAAAAATGTCAACAATACATTATTTCTGTTCAACTTAAAGAAAAGAAAGTCTATAAAGAAAAAGTTTAAATTCACAGTTATTGAATAACTGCCAACCTTTAAAATAAAACTATATTTAAAATGTACCATTGAAATTACTTTGTTTTCATTTTTTATTTATTTTTTGAACAATGTGAGGTAGTTGGAGATGCTTAACGTCAAATATCAGACTTGAAGTGGACATATCAAGCTGAACCATGCATAAGGTCCTAAGAAACATTGACAGATTCTCTTCGACTTCCTTTGCATCTTCACGGCGATGTTATGACATTCCCAGCAATTTTCTATTTTTTAGTTCTAATGCGACAAACACGACAAGAAACGGTTATGTACCCAACTGCCGATACATAATTGTCCCATCTTTGCTTGATTTCCTATTCATATGGGACAGTTATGCTTTTATGGGCAGCCAAGTTATTATCGAAAAAGAAAGTCGATAATGTTACTTAGGACCTAATGTATTATTCAGCTTGATTTGTTTTACGATAGATGAGCAGATGAAAGTATAGAGTTGATAGTTCCATTATAGTAGTGCAGTGTGAACATTGTATAAAGAAAGTAGAAAGCGAGCAAAGGACAATTTTGAAGAAGATACCCCAAAAATGCCCTAATCATCGCTAAGCTAGCCTATTATTATCTAAATAGGTTTCAAACACTTTTAACGCCAAAAATGGTCATAAAATCAGTACAAGGGCCTGACACATCTTGAAACTGACAACTCTCATTGAATCGTCAAAATGTTCCTCTAAAAGACAAAAATTGTCATAAAATGTAAAATTATAAAACTGTATTCAAAATATCAAACGCCTAAACATTTACCAAATTGATATTTTTGTAAGAGGTTTGAATTCACATAAAATAACTTCTATGGTTCCATAAATTTTGATGAATAGGTATTTTATTTAAGTTTCGGAAATTTTTAATAATTTCAAAAACAATCCACAAAATATTAAAACCAATAGGTTTTTAATGTGGGTGCTTCCCGTAGCTCAGTTGGTAAAGGCGCAGCAATATTGCAAGATCACCCTAATAAAATTGTTATAGTTATTTTGCTTAACGACATATTCGGGGTATCAACCAAAACATTTGTGTAATAGTTCTATTATTTGGGTTATCGTTCAATTATTGTATTTTTATAATGGCATCTGAAGGTAGCTTGGTTCGATTCCCGTTCCCGGTATACAAATTTTACGGGTTGAAAATTTACTTGACCTCCCTGGGCATATCATAGTGTACTTGTCACACAATTTACTAATCCAGAATTGGTAAAGGCTTAGTACGCTCTCAACTAACAACTGTGAAAGCAAGCACGGGAAAATTCATTCACTCGTGCGAGCACCACAGAAACAAAATAGCCATACTCACCTACAGTGCTGTAAATTCTCAAAATCAATTGATCAATTTTGATGAAAATGAGAAAAGCAGCTATCCGCTATCAAAGGGGACATCCATCAAATGGGTGATATCAGTTGCTTAGTTATTTGACGAAGGCATGGATCATTCTCATTTGAGAAACAATTAATTAATTAATTTATCTTTATTAGGGAGGCTTTCAGCCTTGGGCTGGTTCTCCTCCACATTTGAGAAACACTTGATACATTCAATTGAGTGTAAACGGAGCTCTGGTCGACATTCCGGCGAAAAAGCTAAATCAAACCAAACTCCAACCCGAAATTGACCCAACATAAACCCAAAAATTACCCGGCAATAACACGGCATCGGCCTTCAATGATAGTGAGTGACTCAATTGACAGTGACGATCGAGGGGGGCGACACATCTAAATCTCGATTCTAGATGGTCAAACAATCTCACACTAGCGAATAAATCTTCGAAAAATCTTCTTTCATTTCTCGCATCTACTTGCATCGCGCATCATCTTTTTGCAGGAAATCTTCAAAATCGTGATAAATCTTCTTTCTATCTACTCAGCGTACGCGCAGTTAGCCACAGCAAAACACAATATTTCCTGCATCGTAGATAGAGTCGTCCCCCTCGGTGACGATAAGCTTCGAATGAGAAAGGGCCTCTCCAAATTATGGTCATGTGAGAATTCGGTTTTCACAGAATTGTATTGGTTCATCTTCAATCGAATGATATGAAAATTAACAGCACTGCTCACCTACAAACAGATTGCCGAAGGAGTGTAAATTCCAACCAAGTGATTCTGCAGCTTTCATGTTACGCTCAGCTGCCTGTTTTGCTCTATTCTGCGTTCATCGAAGAAAATAGAAGCAATCTAGACCAACAATTGAAAACCGCGGAACAACCAAACGTAAACAATAGTTTTAAACACAAAATTCTCGAGAATCAAAACACTCCCACGCAAACTAACAATGCCATTCGTTAAAGGAAGTTTAGTCTATCAGATGATAGTGTTGGATTGCTTGAATATGCTTTGATTCTCAAGGAATTTGCGTTTAAAGCCATTGTTTAAGTTTGGTTGTTCTGCCTATTTCAATTGTTGGTCTAGCAATGATAATACGAACCATATGACTGCGGCTCGCACAAGCTCGTTTCTGATGTTGGATGCATGTGAGTGAGTAGTAAATGCAAAATAAAACAATTTTTCCTATGCTTGTGCGGAAGTGCTCAAAGAACAATAGCGAATTTGTTTATTATCCAGGTTAAAATAAGTTCCAACCCGTGCGAACCCGGCTTATTCTCAGTGCGAACCTCAACCCGAGCCAGGTTATAAAAACTAACGTTCACACTGACAGTTGACAGACAACAAGCAGACTCAATCTTGATACCCGGTCCAGGTTGGAACTGAATCAAAAACAAATTTGCTTTGCGTTGAAGGCTGGAGTAACAGTAGATACGTAATAAATCCAAAGAAGGAGAACCCTAATAAAAAATACCATAACCGAACGTTAACCCAAATGATAACTATTCCACAAATGTTTTTTTTTTTATTTATTGTTAATTTATTTGATAAGGCTCAATCGAATTAACTTTACTGAGCCGAGGATTCTTATTCACTATACAAAACATCGTGAAACTATAGCCAAAAGGTACAACACAATAAACACTTTATCTTCCGCTGTCCAATAAGCCTTCTCCATCGGAACGGGATCCGCTTCCAGAGGTTTCATTGTATGGCAGAGCTTCAATTGCCAAAGAGGGGCATAGTGCTTCAATTGCAGCAATGGACGCAAAACGTGGTCAGCACTCACACACTCAGCACGAAACGGTTGCTTTCCAAAGTCGACGTCGCATCGACCGAAAGAACTGCTGACGAAGAACAATGAGGAGGACCACTCAATGGTTGCGAGAATAAAACAGCCGCCGCCGATGAAATGACCGGCGCACAGGCGGCACAGGTCTACTCAATAGTCTATTAAAATATAATTGCAATGAGAATGAAGAACGAGCCGTGGTGTTTTGTAAGTTGAATAAATTTTCCCTTCTTTGTATAGTTTCTATAGTTAATTCTTTGATGTACTGATGATTACAAATTTAGTTAACATTGTTTCATAGCGATATAAAAGCAGGATAACAGAATTCGAGTGCATCCAGATATTGGTGTAACGAATTTTGAGTTTACGTAGTTAAAAATATGTTCCCTGGAGAGTCTGATGTGTCGACGATATGTCTGATATTAATCGGCATTTGGCATAAACACTTTCAATCCTTTTTTCTAAACTAAGTGTTGTATACAATTTACATTCGAAGATTTCTCATTTTTTTGATTACTGCTCGATCACAGAGTTCAATATTGTAATTTATTTAAATTAGCATGAATTTTCAAACAAATCATTCATGTTGTTTAAGGCTTGGAAAAACTGATTCTGTTTATAAGAAAAAAAAACCTGCTCTAAAAATATTAGTCAAAGTAGTTATACGTCACAAATAGCAAATAAATATAGAGAAGCTCAACATTTTATAAGCCTCAGTAACATATGTAGCATTAGGCGTTATCCTGGGATCTTGATTTCGATATCTCAACCCTTGATTTTTTTTTTAAATGTGCATGTACAAGGTCTTCACATTTACCCAAACTATGGATCTTGACTTTATTGATTTGTTTTAAGGTTAGGGCCCAAGTAAGTTTTTAGTCAAAGATTGCGCAAGTTTCACTAAATCACTCAATTCCATGTTTTCTTTCTGTCTGGAGATCTCAGAACAAATCAAATCCCTAACTCCCTGAACACACTTTGCGACCTTTGCTCGGACCTTCCAAATACACTTCACTCCACTTCAGTCCTTTAAGATCAGTATCCACAAACTAAAATTGAAGAATGCAGATTCCGGAAAAGCAGTTGTGTTGTTGTTGTTCATGAAAGGTCATTGATGATTTACTCATGTTTCAAAGAATTTTAAGCAATGCAGAAAACAATGTAAATTTAGGTGCTCTGAGAGTGACATATAAGAGCGTTAATTTTGACATAAATTTGAGTCATAACAGACGCAAAATATAGCTCCATTAAACGTATTTTTCGTCGAGCAACGAACTTTTCAGTCTTGGAGCACTCAATATTACATGACATGTTTGATTACGTATCATATTTTATGTCAAAGACGAATTCCGTGTGTACACTCAGGACTTTTTTTTACATCGGGGACCTTCTGTGACCTTCTGTTATATGGAGTCACTAAACAAGGACATACGAATGGATGGTCATTAGAGTGGTTCAAAATATCGATTTTGTTCCACCAAGATCAATCGATTTCAAATCAATTTCTGATAAATATCTCAATATTTTAGTTCATTTGGAAGTGAACTTATATGAGAATTACTATGAGAAAAGTAAACTTTTTGTTCTAAACGTTCTAGCTTTTCACTGAAGTGATCTACGATACAGTTTGCTATATGCTCTCAATGTTGACAAGTCAAATTGTTAGGTATTATCTAATCTAATCATTTTCCAGGATGCTTTCTCGTACTGGCGGCGTTTGTATTAGATTTAATTAGATTAGAAAGATTTTGATGCTTCATATGATAAAATATTTTAAAAATAGATTTTAATGCCATTCGTAATTATAGCATGATATAGCCATATTTAAAACAATTCTGTAGTTACAGCAAAAATTTAGATTTTTTTTTTAAAGTATGCCATTCAATAACCTATGGCTTGAAACGGATATTATGATTCGAAGCAAGCCGATAGGATGTATCATTATTGAGAAATTGTTATACCCTACTATCGTTACGCTCTATATCAAGTGATATGGAGTGATTCGTGATATAGCAGCTACCTCACGATCTATATTACGTGATGTCCCATACAACCGATGAATAGTTCTTGATATAGCTCATATCATGTTGTGTATTTGATTAATTCCTGAAAAACAGTGACTGGCAAAACAATAAAAAAAAACGAACTGGCAGTTTCAAGCAACCATACTAACCCACCTACCCGAGACGAACTTCTTCCGCAATCAATACCATCGGATTGGCTCCATTCAACTGTCGCCAACTATTGGGAGGTTTCACGGTGGTCATCGCCCGTCGAATAAAAAAAATGTAGCAAATCAAAGATTTTCTCCGGTACCCAACCAAAACGTCCCGTCACCAGAACGAACGCCGTTTTGCGTCGACTGCCCGGGTACCTTAGGAGGAAATCAAGAAGCTCTCCCGATAGGAAGTCAGCAACATAAAGGTGAAAGTCTGTGAATAAGATATTTCTCGTGAGCGTGATCCAACTGTGATCAATGGTGCTGAGCGCTGCGCATGTTGTTTCCGCCTCAGACGTTCGATGATACTAAATAGATCCGCATTTAAAGAATGTCCATGTGGGCTTTCTTTACCTTGCTCTGGCTGTCCTGTGTAGCCTGCAAAATCGACGCAATGTCCTGATCCAGGAAGCCATCGTTTTGAAAGTGAAAATGCAGCGTTGAACAGCTTTCCATTTGTATGATAAGAAACTGGTCAGGCTGCAGCAAATATTCCGACACTTATTGGTCAAAAGTATCCACATCTCCTCGGTACTGGCATGGTACGCTCTGAAAGCTTCCACACAATACCGCCGTCAGGATAGGTTTCCACAGCAAACTCAAATCCCTGATGCTGCAAACAATAACAAAGTTGTTCTCACTGTCACCAATGACAAACTATATAAAGTTACCGTTATTTGAACATCTCAACTTGATATCGATATCATCTCGTTATATCACGTGATATAGAGCGTAATGAGAACGAGGTATTAAAAACGTACCGTGTAAATTGCGATTTCGTGTAAAAAATGACTTGGGTGTACAGAAAAACTACCTTCGAAAAATCGAATAACAATGAAGATGGGGTATGTAAAATAACAAACAGCGATAAAACGAACCCAACTAACCACAAAGCTTGTTAATGGCCAAGTAAGGGCCCTTTTCGAAATATAAGGCTGATGATTTTTAAATTAGCCATATATCAGCATATTTTGCATTAGCGGGCTTGATGGTTATTTAGGTAGTTTATGATTCTGGCCATTTATCGAACTCCTGAGCAATTTAATGGAAGATCTTGTATTTTTCGATGGGAAAATAATTATGATACAAACTACTAGGAGTTTGCGTTTCATATTTAGGTGGAATCCAACAAAACTCGAAATTTGAAACATCGCTGTAACCTTTACGATTCTGGACGAATTAGATCCAATTCAACGTAAAACGAATACTGATTTGTATTGTGATATTTACACGTTTGAAAATTACTATGTAGGGGAATGTCGGCCTAAATGCCCCTAATTTGGGCCCATACATAAATTCAGCAATCGACTAAATTTTCAATAGTGACGAAAAATATCCATTAGTACCGTCCCAATGACGCGTTCGTCTAGATAAAATTGATAAATAGCAGATTTTTAGCGATGGGCCCAATCTTAGATCCATAGGCCAACATTAGAGCCATTTCCCTTATATTTAAATTTCGTTTCGAAATGCAAAATTCCTACAAATTGTTTGTAGAACCAAAAATATTCATATCTGCCTCGCTATCTGGCATCACTGATTTGCACCTAACAACACAACCCCATCAGCACGACGACGATGAAGAGCGAAGCTCCAAATGGGGATAAGCGACGTAATTTTCGTATCCACTATACCAGTGCCACCGATCGACACAGTTCGGATATGTACACATACCACCATAACCAAAACAGCTCAACTACTATACAACAGTCCATAGATACAACTGAACACTAACCACTCTTTTTTTCATTCATCCCGAATGCGTTTTCTAGGTGCACCTCGTCGGACTGCGCGCATAGTAGACAGACGATTTTCTTCTGATGTGTGATTGATTCGGTTGCGGTGCGTCGTGGAAAGAGGACCTGCTACCATACCACAGTAGTGTGTCGCGTGCGTGTGTCGAAAGTGCTACCGATATTATAGGCGGTTTTTTTTTTCATTTCGTTGGGTGGTTTGCTACGAAAGGAGGTCGGTCGAGATCATCACCGAGCCGAGTGGTTTACTCTGCTTTTTTTTCGGATTTGGAGGTTTCGATCTCTTTCAAATTTTGAAAGTGCGAGTGCTTTTTCTGTGAAAACTACGCGACTAGATTTCACGGCACTCAAATCCCCGACGCGAGGATCAAATCGTGGCAGTATTTGGTTTTGGTTTTTCGATTCAGAAAAGCGAGAAGGTGGATCACATTGTCAACACTGACGTTCCTCCCTCTGACAACAGTTACGTCAACGGAAAGTTACTATTTGGGAACTGGAAGAACTGCCCGGAGGAATTTTTGTACCGAATAACAGCATATATGCGATAAATCAAAGCTCAATTTTATTGGAAAAAAAATCTCACCAAGCTACCGCGAAACATAGGATAGGAAAAACCTAATTAGTTTAAGTGCTGCCAATAGTATTCCCATATCGCGTAGTACGTAAATTAAAGGAAGAAATTATTGTAAATTATTAAAACAAACACATTCGCAAACGCAAGTAAAAAGTAGGAAAGTTCGACGGTGAACGAAAGCAAGAAAAAATCGCATTTCTCACCCACACTCGCGCCGTGCTTGTCTGTTGAAAGCAGAGTGTCGAAGAAGAGTGCACAGAGAGCACAAAGCACGGAAAATCTAGAAAGAAAGAAAGGAAAAAATCATCCAACACGCGAAAAGTGCCAGTTTTCTGTTCGTCTATTCGCGCGAAACAAGTGCGGTGGATCACGCGGGTATTGACACACAAATACCAATCCTCGTGTCGATTTTCGAGCAGAGTGCAGCGAAAATAATAAATACGAGAAGAGAAACCGAAGTCTGTGATCAAGCAAAATTCAATAATTAATAGAAAAATTTGAAGACCGCGACGACGACGACGAGTTTAGGATTAAGTAATCGCATACATATCATCGCTCAGTGGCGGCGGCGGTGGATGTGGTGGTGGTAAATTGGTGCAGTTGCGCGCATCGATATCATATCTACAGAGGAAGATCCCGTCACTTCATTTTACATCACCGTTATCATCATCAGCAGCATCATCGTGTAAGCGTGGTGTGATCATCAGCAGCAATCGCCATGGAGTCGATGGAGTATGAGATGGCCCGCAACATGACGTTGCTGTTCTTTCTGGAACGGCTGCTGGATCGCGGAGAGCCACGCACTCTGCACGACTTGTCGTGCCAGTTCGGAGCACGCGGTTTCACCAAGGAGATGCGACAGATCGCCGGCGGTAGTCAATCAGGTTGGTAATCGGGGAATTCTTATTTTATAAATTCTAGCTTGAACTGGCAGAATGTTTGTCCTACCGAATCTGATAAATTTTCTTGGCAGATAATGTAGAAGGCTTTTAAAACTTCTTACACTCTTGTTGCGTTATCCAGTTCCGAGAAGTTTTGAAAATCGATAGAGAAATTAAAAAACTAAAAAATCAACCCTAAATTTGAATAGGCTGGACTCGGTTGAAACCATTTGAAGATACAAAAAATAACTTTTGTTGATTTACCAGCGAACAACTGCCGCTAGAAATTTTACCTTTTTTTCGATATTTAGAAACCCAGTAAAAATTACTGACTCCAGTCCAGTAAATAGCAAATCATCAGTTTATAACTCAAGTAACAATTTTGATTTTAAAAAGGTCTTATAGACAATGATTTGCACATGTAGTATGCTTTAAAACCACGTTAAAACTTGCAATTTTATTGTTGTTGAACGAGTGTCCACGTTGAAGGAGGAGGATTTAAGTCTATCATCTACTTAGTTTACAAAAAAAGGATATAACAAACCCTACCTTGATTCTTGAATTAGGTTGAAACTGAATCAAAAATATTTTCATAATAGGTAACTTTTTTTCTAAGCCGGTAGGCACCTAAAAGAAACAATTTTTAACGAGAAGTAGCTTTTTTTCGACAAATCCAAAATAAATTGTAATGGCTTAAGAAACCAAAAAATTGAATATCAATATTAAGTATGAATTTCATTTACTACATCATTATATGAAGAAAGTCAAAATTATTACAGAGATCACATCCCAAGCAACACTGCAAGTTTTATCGAGGTTTTAAAGTATTCTACAAATCTAAATCATGAACTTCAGAACTCTCATAAAACCAGAAAGCTTAGGTGGTTTGGATATGAAAAATTGCTGTTCTGAAACCTCTCAGGCCTTCCACAGCCATATCTGTTCCCTGAACAGCAACTAAGGTGTGTGTGCGTGTTCTCGTCCGGAGCTTATTAAGTAGTTCCAGGCCAAATAGCAAATGCGTTGGCGTGTTGTGGTTCGTAAGCAATCGGTATTTTAAGACATTGTTTACATTTCAAATTCTTTGAAGCCCAGTTGCTTTGGTATCGGACCTAAGTTCATTGAATTGTATTTTTGAAAATTGAAAATTATTCCAGGAATTCTTATTTTTTTTATATTAGAGATCGTAAATTTCTTAGCCCCAGCATTTATAAAAAATTCAATATATCTTAAATTGATCCCAGAACGTTACATTTTTTTTCAAGATCGAGAATTTAAATCATAAGCGCATGTCCTATGTTGCAGAAAAATGAGAATTTTTCTTTAACTGCGATCTACAACAGTTGTCAAGGTTCCAGAGTTTTGAAAATTTGTCTATGTTCATATGAGTCAAGATCTTTACAATTGCTTGTCTCAAAGGGTGTCCACAGTGAAATTGCATCACTCTCAAAAGGCTGTAACATTTTGCCCTTTGGATTAATTATAATGAAATTTTGGGTGTGATGGCTTCAGCGTGTATTGTTTACACTGCGTGAGTTTCATTATGAAATTTCTAGTAGTTTTTAAAATGGAGTCGCATGCGCTGGAAAATTTTGAACACTCACCTCAAAAACCCACATCTTTCGCACCGAGCCATCGGAAAAATGTTGGGAATCCAACGATATACTGTCGATCGGAAGCAAGTGAGTGCAAGAAAAAGTGTTCCCTACTGCGTTGAAGATCACAAGCGAGTGGTTACTGCCTTCAAACGCAAACTACGTTCATTCAAGTTTCTGAAAGCACAAAACCGCAATGAACGACAGAGTAGACAAATGTTTACAAAATAACACTGGCACGTAATCCTACGTCAAATCTACGGTCGGATGAATGCTCTTATTCCCGGTAGAACTCGTCCAGAATTTACGGTAGAATTCTTTTTGAACGCATGAAGGAATTCTCCTGCATCTCACGGGAGAATTCTCCCAAAATTAACAGTAGAATGATTACAGAAATTACCCAAGAAATCAGATGCATTCTCGTGGTATTTCCGAAGTGATTTTCCCTGAATTCCCGTTGGAATTCTCCTAGAATTATCGGAGGAATTTTTCATAAATTCCTAGGGGAATTATCCCACAACTCTCGGAGAAATTTTTCAGAGAATTCTGGAAGAATTCTCTCATCATTATCTGGGGAATTCTCGTAGGGTATCTGAACAAGTTCTTCCGAAATTCCAAAGAATATTCTTCCATAGCTTCCGGGGACATTTTCCCCTCATTTGTCGTGATTTATTTCCTTAAAATTCAAGGCGAATTGGGTTCTTTAGGGGTATTGAGGCAATTGCATATCCGTAATCTACATGCCAAATGGAACCGAAATCCAATATTTCATCAGTTATGGATCACTGGAACTATTTTAAATAAGTGTGATTACATTAGCAAAAATCGCCATCTTAACGCCCCTCGGTGGGATTGCGTATGAAAGCGAGCTGTCAATTTGTTAGTTTTGTGTCAAATAGTGAAGACGTTTTTTTACTTTAAATCTTGATTGTGCTCCGAAAACGAAGCTATTTCAGATGATGTATAGTAACCGATGTATTTTTCAAAATTAAAGAACCCAATTCACCTATATAATATCCATAGAAAACTTTTCGGAATTTTTCATCTTTCCGATGAAATATATGTAAAAGCGGATTTCAATCAAATTCTGGGAAACCAGTATGTGACTACGAAAGACAAGTTCGATGTTTCAGAGTCCCTCAGGAAACAGCAAGTGTCGAAGTTCCCCAAGAAATTAATGATTTGGCAGGCGGTTTGTTCGTGCGGAAAATGGAGCAAGCCTTTCGGAGTAACTGCAACCGTAAATGGCCATGTCTACATGAATGAGTGCCTGGAGGAAATGACTGCTTCCGTTTCTCAATCCAAATTTTTTGGCCGAATCTAGCCTCTTGTCACTACTCCAAGTGGTACAAGACGAATGAGGTCAGTTTCGTGTCGAAAGATCTCAATCCCCCAAACACACCGGAGGTTGCGGCCGATCAAAAGACACTGGGCTATAATTGAAGCACGAACTCCGTAAGCATCCTAAAGTTGTCACTACGGAGCAGGAAATGTTGAAGTCATGGTTGAAAGCAAAAAAAAAAAATGTCGATTCAATCGTTGTGCAAATCCATATGTGTGGAATTAAGAAGAAAGCTCGCACATTATAAATATAGAGTGAAATAAAGATAAATAAACCAAGCTTATATATATAGTATTACATTCCGTGAAAATTTCATGACAATCGGTTGAGAGACTTATTTTTGGCGAGTACTTCTAGGTAATGCAATTTAACTGTGGACACCCTTTAAAATTGTCAAAATTCGTCTGAACACTTTTCTCTTCACCGCAATGTTTCTAATAAATTTCTTTGTTCAATTTTTCGCATATAGCCCACAGCGACTCACGAAGAGCTACTGATTTCGATCAATAGCGGTGCGGCTTCTTCCTCCTTCTATGGGAGCTCATATTGGCTCCAGCTGGCTGCTTGTCGGCAGCCTTTCGTTGTGTACTGGAGAACACCACCACTCACCACGCGGTGATTGAATAAACACCGTTTGGTGAGACCGGTTGGAATTCAAATTTGAAATCTGTGTTAGGAAAATCGCTTTTCGCAGGCAATTGGTGATAATTTTAATTTTCTTATCAACAGTTACACATTCGTGCAATTTTCAATGGTGACATTTTGAAAAATGATAAAATCTTAATTTTAACAGAATCTTAGGAAAAATTCCTAACGATTGTGGCGTATTAAGAATTAAAATCCATCATCTCTGTATCAAAATAATACCACTTTCATGCCGCGACTGACGTTTGTTTTTGAAATTGCACCCCAATATTGCCTTCATGAACATGTATGTTAGATTTAAACATATCTAGATAGAGCTGGAATTAGGCGTACCAGCTTTTGTAAACAATGACATCTCTCGATGATTTTTAGGACTTCAAGGCACGCCCACGCAAACCGACATTACCGTCGGGTAGGGGAAGTCTTACCCTACCTGATGGTGATGTTGATTTGCGTGGGCGAGCTTTGACTTTCAATACATCATCGAAATAAGTCATTGTTTACAAAAGCTGTTACACCCTAATTCCAGCTCTATTTTGATATGGGAACTGACATCCGATTGATGACCTTGACAAATTTATGGTGGTCCTAAAAAGGACCGTTTTGTCGTGATGGTTGAGTAATACTGAGCTATAAGGGTGTTAAACACATATGAGGCTGGTGAGCTGTATGTTGTTTGGAATGAGGGTGACGCGCTTGGCATAGATGGCCCACAGCGACTAACGAAGAGCTACTGATTCCGATCAATAGCTTTGCGGCTTCTTCCTCCTTCTATGGATGCACATATGGGCTGCAGCTCACTGCTTGCAGGTAGCCTTAAGTTAAGTACTGGAGAACAATGTTCAACGTCACACGCCGAAAGCACTGCTGCTGCTGATGCCGATGACCGGACACCACCACACAGTGATTGGAACTGAATCCGATCAGCGGATGAGGCCAGCCTTGATAGCCAGCTGCTTGCGGGGAGCCTTTCGTTGTGTACTGGAGAACACCACCACTCACCACGCGGTGATTGAATAAACACCGTTTGGTGAGACCGGATAGAATTCAACTTTGAAATCTGTGTTAGGGAAATCTCTTTTCGCAGGCAATCGTTGATAATTTTAATTACCATAGCAACAGTTTCACATTCGTGCAATTTTCAATAGTGACATTTTGAAGTATGATAAAGTCTTTAATTTAACAGATGCGTAGAAATATTTCTGATCAATTGGTGATAAAATTATTGAAATTGGTCCAGGGGCAGCTGAGTTATTGACGTTCAAAATCTTTCATAATTTTGTTACATGTTCGATTTTTGGTTTCCACAAAGTGTACCCCCATATAGAAATCACAGACGCAGTCCGACGTCAAAAAAGAATCCTTAGTCTTTCAGCTTCCATCTGATTACATTTGGACGACTGAGCAATCCTGCTTTGTTG